TCCAGGACCCTCCAGGTGGCTGCCGTGCGGGCGGCAGAGGCGGGGGCGGGGGCGCTTCCGGCGCGCTCGCCGTGCGCCTGCTCGGTGACGTCATCGCGTTCACCTGCGGGCGGGCGGGGCGGGCAGCGCAGCCGGCGCATCTCGAGGAGCACACGGCCCACGGCAGAGTCCTCCTTCCGCCCAAACTGGGGGTCCTCCCTCCTCTCTCTCTCTTCTCCTCTCCTCCCTTTCTCTCGCCCTCTCCCCCCTTCTCCTGCCGCTCGCTCTCTCTCTCTCTCTCTCTCCCCGCCCGCCTGTCGCCCCTCCTGAACGCGGAGCCAGGCTCTCCATTCATCTACTATCCCCCCTCCTCCCCGTCGCCACACGATCGCCTTCCGACTGGGGGTGCTTAGAGGGAGGAGACGCGGCTCCGAATAATGGCTTCTTTATTTTATTCGCTCCTTCCTCCTCCTCTTGCCCCTGCACGTTAATTCACTCACTCTCCCTTTCTGGCGGCCAGTTTTCGGCAAGGCGATGCCAAGCCGGTTGTCTCGAGTCCGCAACCCTTTCCCCCGCCGCCCCGCCCCGCACCGCACCCTGAGGCCTGAGGGCCGCCCTCGTCACTTCAACACGAGGAGCGCTCTGCTGCTGTTCTGCTCACGGCAGATGGGGTTGGCTTAGGGAAGGGAAGGGAAACGGCACGAGGACAAATGGAAGTTTGGATACTGTAGCCTATGACTCGTGTTATGTAACATAATTTTACATTAAGTAAAATGATAGAAATTGTGGTATACATGGAAAAAATTTCTGTTGAACTTGTGAGGAAGAAATCATGGAAGCGTGAGGGAAAGACCGCGACGGCCACTGAAAAATTTTGGTCACGCCTAGCACCGGCTTCATGTTGAAATTTAAAGTTTGATTCCTCTCTAATAAGTGCTGAAATTTTCAATAAATTAGTCTATAGAGTCACTTAAATAAAAAGTCATGGAAGAGTGCCATGAGTTAATTAACCCTGAAATATCATGTGTTAGGTAGTTTGACGGTGTTGAACCATCCCTTGTGTCCTCATGACGAGGATACTATAGGCAACCCGCGGCGCCTCGCGTTGCGGCAACACTGGCCGCCCTGCCTCGCGCCACTCTTCGCCACGCCCCGAGAACGGAACGTGTATTGCAGCTCAGAGCCCCCCCCCCCCCCAGCCCGGCATGCAGCTGGCTCGCGGAACGGCGGCCGGCGAAGACACTTGGGCCCCGGTCTGCCCGGCAGCTGGCCGGCAGCTGCCTTGCAGGTGACTCGCAGCTGTAGGCAGCATGTAGGTAGGCAGGCAGGGCGGGCCTGCCTCCATGCATGGCCGGCTTGCGATGTGGGTTTTAGTATGCGATTGTCAAGTCGCTGTTGAGGGAGGCTGTGGGGGTGGTTCTGGTCGGGGCGGGGTGCTCCAGGCGGGGTGAGTGAGGCAACCACTCGTTGCCTCCCCGTCCTGCCCTTCCGTCCGTCTGGTTCGCCCGTCTGTCCGTCGCTCAGCCGACCCGCGCCTCAGCGACGCCGCGCGTCCGTCCCGCTGCCTCCCCGTGCCTCGGAGCCGCGCGCCGCGCCGCGGCCGGGCTCGTCGTGCTGCCTGCCTGCTCTGGCTGGCCGCCCGAGTGGCTGCCTGCCCTGGCTGGCCGCCCCTTCCTCCGCGTATCGCTTTGGTCGGTTTGGTCGGTTCAGTTGTTGTCCGTCGGGCCGTCCAGGCGAGCGAGCAGGCGGCCGAGCAGGAGACTCCCGTCCCGGACCCCGTGTACGCGTCGCGCGCCGCGCCGCGCCGACCCCTCCCCGTCCCGGACCCGACGCAGCAGACGACGCCGCTGCGGCCGCCGGCTAGGCTTTGCTCGGCCCGACTCGCCACGGCCTGGCTCGGGTACTCGTTGGGGTTGCTGGCCGACATGGCGAGCGGCCGGCGCCCCGGGCAGGGCCGCCGCCGCCCCCACCTGCGCCAGGTGGGCCCCCGGTGCGCCCGGTGAGCCCCGGCCGCCCCGGCGCGCGCGCTGAGTGATTGGACCTGCAGGCCCTGCTGCAGCTGGACGCCGCGCCCTCCCCCACCATGCTCCGCGCCACGCTCCGCTACACAGGTAAAACGTTATCGCGTTATCAAGATGCTGCGCGGCGCCACCTGACCGACATCTCGCGGGTTCAAGCCCCGCCGCCGCCGCTATGCCCGCCGTCGTCGTCGTCTTTCTCTCCTCGCCGTCCTTCGACTCGCTCCGTCAGAGCTTTACCGCCCCGTTACGTTGCCGCCGCGGCCCTTAGGAGGAAAAGAGAGAGGAAGGGGAGGGGGGGGGGGCAATCTATTCATGTCGACGAGAGCGGAATGCGGAGGTGAGATCTGGACGGCGGCAAGCAGCCCGGTCTCCGTTCAGTTTTTGATCCGAGTCACTTCAGGCGGAGGCGCGCGCGTGTCCGCCAGCGTCTTGCCTCGCTGCGCCAGCTGCGCCTGGGGTTGGGGGTTTGGGTCTCCCCGCCCCGCCGCCCCTCTCTGCTGCGGCTTTTGCTCGCTGTATTGTTGTCCCTCTGGTCTCCACGATGATGACGTCAAAGGCATGGCGGTCAGAACGCCCCGCCCGTGCCTCGCCGCGCCGACCACGCGAGCGGCTGGCTGGCCGCTCCAGCAGGCGGGTGCGGCGCCCGCCCCGCCCCGCCCCGCCGCACCCCCGCGCCGCTGGTGGTGTGCGTCGGTCGATGCCAGTGGCGGGGCGGGGCGGGCGGCTCATCCCCGACCTGGTACGGATGGCGTGCCCTTGCGCACCCTGCCCTGATGGCAGAAGGGGGCCTGGATGGATGGGGTGGGTCTTGAGGGATGAGGTGCCCCCCCCCCTCTCTTTCCCTTCACTCGAGGCATGGGGATCAGAAATCATACGGCGTTGTCATTGATTCGGGAAACCCTCTCCAGATCTCGGCGTTTGATCACGGCTGGCAATCCCCCTAATGACCTGTTGAAACGCCTCTCACTGTACAGAGATACGCCGAACTCGCGATCCTGATTATACTATACCGCCTGCGGGCGGGCCTGCCGATCGACCCTGACCACGGTGCCTCGCCTCGTGGCCCCGTGCGGGTATGCAACCCGTCCGCTCGCCTGCGTCCGGTGCAGTATAACCAGGAATAAGTGCGGCTTGGAGCATGCACCTCGTAATGTATTTGAAAGAGGATCTGCTTTTGGAGAACGTGCGCGAGGGATGGGAGAACCCCGTCGTGTTGACTCGGTAAAACGGTTTGGCTATTTGAGGGGCTTCGCGGGTACTTGACGGGCAGCAAGTAGAGCACCTTCAGGCCGACACGCGACGTGACGCGACCCCCTCTCCCCTTCTCCCCTCCTCCCCTTCTCCCATTCTTACCCACCTTGCAATGACGTTTGGCTGTAACTTTAATTTATCTTGTTTCAGAACGCAGCTACATTGCTCCGGTACGCGTCGAATCGTAAGTGTCGCACCCTCTTACACATCCTTGTCTACAGTTTTGTTATTTGTTTGTCCATCGGAGACTGGAACGTTTTCTTTACTTTTTCTCCGCAGCAACTTGGAGAATGATCTGATCTTGTCGGAAGACAGCGATGACGAGGGCGGCAAGGAGGCCGCCGCCGTCGAGCAGGCCGCCAGCCCCGTGGACCTGCCGCCCAACGTGGACATCCTGTGAGTACTTTCGCCGCGAGGAGACGGTCCTTCCTTCCCGCCTGCGGCACGACCTGACTGAGCCCTTGCCCCGCAGGCCCCCGATGAGCGTCGGGCCGCCCCCGCCCGTCCTGGACCCGATGTCGCCGTGCGGCAGCCCCATCCGCAGCCCCGGGCCCGGGCCTAGCAACAGCCCCGGGCCCAACAACAGCTCCTCTTCTGGCTCGGGCTCCGGCTCAGACTCGGGCTCCGACAGCGACTCGTCGAGCGAGGAGTCCAACGAGGAGGCGGAGGCCCCCGAGCAGCCGCCGCCGCTGCCCAACCCGCTGCTGCCGCCGCCCGGGGCCTCGCCGGAGCCGCGCTGGAACCTGGAGTCCTTCTTGTCGCCCGGCAGGAGCGAGGCGGCCAACGATGCAGCCAGCGACGTCGCCGTCAAGGTGAGGGGCGCGCACGCGCCGATGGCCTCGTAGGAGTCTTGGTAGACGCAGTTGAGCACAGAGCTAGGTGGACGGAGTGATTCTTTCTTGGATAATACATGCTTTGGTTCAAAAAGAATTCGAGTTAGGTTTGACTTGGCTGCCCTGTCCTGTCCTTTGCCTTTGCTCACCGTGTGCCGCTTGTCCCTGCAGAAGGAAGGCTTGATGCCGGCTCCCGAGGCGTCCAGCGCCAAGAAGCCGGTCAGCCCCATGCCGCATGCCCCGCATGCAGTGCACCGGCCACTCGCCCCGCCGGCCTCCTCGTCCGGGCGGGCCGGCGTCGCGGTCGGCCGCGGAGGGCGTCGCGGCCTGGGCCTCGGCCTGGGCCTCGGCGTCGAGTCAGATCACAGCGACCACGGCAGCCTGGAGGTGCACGACGTGGTGCAGGAGGTGCTCGCCAACCCCCACCCCGCCCTTCTCTCTCGCTTCTCCGACTCGGACGACTGCGCCAAGAAGCAGCCCGCCCAGCCACCTGCACCCGCCTCCGCGCCCGCCTCCGCCTCCGCGCCCGCGCTCAAGCCTCGGCCGCGCAGGGCGCGCGTGCAGGTGCGTGTCGAGATGTCGTGGGGCGGTACATGTGCAGCTGTTGCGTCTCACAGCTTCAGCTTCCTCATCATCTCCTCCCCGCCACCCCCCAATTCATCCTTCTTTTCCTCGTATTATTTTCTTTGCTGTAATGCCCTGCTTAGGATCCAGTATCGCCCAAGCATTCCAGATTCTAGTACCGCTCACGTTTTTTTTCCTCACCCCTCCTCCCTTCTCCTCCCATCAGCTCGCCCATCAGCCAACAACACAGTTCACTATGCAGTTGACGCTGACGTTAGGCCTTCGCGGCACATTTGGGTCATGTTATATTGATTTCTTGTTTTTGTTAATGTTATTGCAGGAGAAGACCCCCGCGCTGGTGCCTGAGTCGGACAGTGAGTCAGACACACCTGGTCCAGCCAATCCCATGAGGCCTCCAGCGCTCTCAAAGTCTCCTCTGGGCGTTAAGGAGACTCGGGACACTTCCGAAGACGACAGGCCGTGCAACCAAGGGCGTGCCTACGATGCCAAAGCTGCTGACGATAGGACTAAGAGAAAAGTGGCTGTTGTGAGACCAGAAGTGCGGACGGACCCGTATAAAGAAACGGATGAGAGAGTTAGGGCCAAGCAGTTGTCATCAGATGACGACATGAGACGTAAAAACCGTAGTCCTGTGAAAGTGAGACCAAGCATACCTCGCGTTCCTAAACTGTATAAACGATCTGGGAGCTGTTCAGATAGTGGATCAGATGTAGACATGGGGGATCGTGGCAGCAGAGGAAGACGAAGTGCGCTAGGTACTAGTGATAGTGACAGAAGTAGGATACTCTCTCCCAAAAAGTGGAGCCATGGGCTCAAGCCACTCATGTCAGCAGTTTCTGCAAGTGATAGTGATGAAGACGTTAAATCTGGAACAAAAGCCAAGATAGTACGCCGCAGGAGAAGCAACACCAAGAGGCCCACTCAGGCTAGTGACTCTGAGGAAGAGTCACGTCCTGAGGTTAAAAGGCATACCCCTAAGCCAAAATTACGAGCATCGCCTATAAGGAGTGCTTCAGAAGAAGAACCCAGAAAGGTAAGAATGTTTAAGACATGATACCCTTAACTATGTTCTAGAAAATAGTTTTCAGTAATATCTAAGAAATTATGTACTCTGCGAATGTAAACATGAGACATCATACTTTATTTTTTCAGTTTTTACTTTCGCATGGTACCTAGCTTTAGCACTTGCATCCTGATAATCATTTATTGTCTTATTTTGTAGGGAACTGCTCGAAGAAGTCTTGTGCCACCGAGATCTCAGACCCACTCCAGTCTCTCTGAAGATGAGGAATGCTACACCGGGTCCAATAAATGGCAATCCAAACATAAAGCCCGCGGCAGACCACCTCTATATCCAAAACATCAGATTGAAGAAGAAAAACAAAATCCTGTTAGTACTCGCAGGTCCAGTGGACGTCAAAAGACAGACATTGCTGTAACTAGGGATTCTGACAGCTCTGAAATAGACGTGGTAAATTCAAAATCACCTATGAAAGGTGTTGGTCAGTCAAGAATAGCTAAGACAAGAGGAAGTGGCGACTCAAGTTCAGATATGGAACATGTACAGTCACCTGTTAGACCATTATCTGATAGTGAAAGTGACACTGTAGTATCAAAACCAAAAATGGAAGTTAGTCCACCCAAGCTAGACATAGAGGGCAATGTTGTCCAGGATAAGAAGAAAAATGACACGTTAAGAAAACTGTTTTCAATTAAACGAGAACCACAAGAAAGCGGTGGCAAAGGTGGCAAGGGCGGAAAGGGTGGAAAAGGAGGCAAGGGCAAAGGTGGGAAGGGGAAGGGAGGCAAGGGCAAACCTGGAGTATTAGTGGTTGGTTGTGAAGAAGTACGAGCAGAACCTGTCTACTCCCCTACCCCACCCCCACCTGTTGAAGTACCAAAGCAGGATCCTCAGCTTACAGACAGTGAAAAGAAGAGAAAAAGAAAACGTCATGGAAAACATAGTGATAGTATCACACCTGAAAAAGCACCTCAGCCAATTAAAGAAGACCCTCCAGAGGAAGAACTAGTTGCTTCCTTAAAAAGGGAAGCTCCACCAACACCACTCCAAACTAGTTTAAATCACCCACAACCTATTCTACCTATTATCTGCCGAATACCTCTTAGTAGATTACCATTTATACCACTACCACCTTCTAAGTCCAGCCACTTCAGAGATGTATGTACTGTGTTTCTTAAGACCTATTTGTGAGATTCAAAACCTTTGTGCATTTGAGTAAGGAACTATCTTCCTCTTGTTTCTTTTTAGGTTCGGTCACACTATGATTCCTCGGATTTGAGAACAGCTGAGGAAGAAAGTTCTAGCTCAAGACATCACCATGGAAGCAAGAAAAGAAGAAGGCACCATAGCCATGTTGAAGATGGTGATTCAGAGGAAGTGCCATCTGTACCTGATGAAACTCAAAACAGGTTCGTTCAGACCATAAAATTCTCTTTACATTCTGCTATGTACCCAGAAGTCGGTAGTGTTTCATGTGAATTGTCCTCAATCACAGCGATATTTTGACGGGCCGGACATCACAAATGAGCAACAAACGGGAACGGCGATTATCTACAAGTTCTATCTCTTCACAATCTACAACTGCTAGCAGAGAACATTCTAAACACAAGGACAGACACCGTGAAAGACACCATAAGCGCCAGAAGCTAGAGGACCATACCATGCGTTCTGCTTACCAGGTAAGGCAACTGCTTGTTTTAAATCATCTACGCAGTTGATACTAAATAGGTGTTGCTCTTTAAAATAATTTATGAAAGCTCTTTTTTTCAATACATTATGACTTGAAGCAATATTCAATCTTGTTTTATATTTTTAGGGTGGAGAGAGCTTCATAGATCAACCTCCTACTAACCATGAACGGGAAGAACAAGTTGGAGGCCCTAGTGGTCACCTATGGGGCATGGATCCAAATATGCCACCTTCAGTTCAAAGAGTATTTTACTCATACTTTGAAGAAAAACGTAGGCAAAGATTTCAAGAGCAATCCCTAAAGTAAGTATTGCCAATATAAACATGACTTTAGATCTCATTTTATATCCAGCAAATCTTACATTATAACTTGGCATCAGCATTATTGACCGCGCTCCCCTTCCGGTCCAATCAATCAATAGAACTAATTTACCTTTCATTTTCTTGTAGGGATGACAACTTTAATTTGAACGAGGCAGTGCGCTATAAAAGGCTAGCAGACAATGAGCGAGACCAAACTGCTCAGGGTGTCCTCTACCTTGAGGCAATCATGTTCTTCATTTTAACAGGAATGACTATGCTCACTCACACCACTTCACACAGCCATACTACAGCCCACACAATGTTTAATGACACACTTTCCCTCATTAAGTAAGAATTCACAAATTTTTACCATCTACTTGTAGTAATAGTAAAAGCCTTAACTCACCCTCTGCTGTTTCTTACCTTTTACCTAGGTTTGTAACTCAAAGATTCAAGAGTCTAAAAAGCAGTCCAGACAACCTGACAATCCATAACTGCTTGTGTGTTCTAAGGTTGGTGGTTACACAAGCATTTCTTGTTGTCCAATTATTGCAGTGTTAAAATGTTAAAAATAACTGATTAATTGGTTTTTGGTTGTTGTTTTTTTAGTATGCGATCTCAGTCCCTATTACATTTGAAATTGTATGAAATCACTCAAAATGAGGTGGCAGAGTACGAAAAACCTATTGCCAACTTTTTTAATACTGTGAAGGTAAAATATTTTTTGGTTTCACATTTTTCACATTATGTATTTTAAATTTATATTAAAATGCTAATTTCTGTTTTGTGTTTGTTTTGTTGTGAACAGACACCTGCTGTTCCTGTCGCACAGGCTGCAACTGAGGGTCAGGCTCAAGGCCAGGGCACCCCTTCATCTCTGTCACCAACACCTTCACCCTCTGGCTCTGTGGGATCTGTCAGTTCTAACTCTTCATCTGGCTACAGCAGTGGTAATGGCGGTGGCAATGCCAATGGAAGTGGGCACGGCAACAGTGGACAGACTAGTGCTACTGGACCAGCCCCTCCCAATCCTGCAAATCCTCCTTGTGTTTCAGTTCCCATGAACATTTATTCAATGCTTTCAAAGCAGCATAAATGTTGGAGTAATCTTAAATTGTCTCATGATCTTTGGGAGAAAGCTGATGCTCTGGTGACACGGTTTAATCATACTGGTTAGTTGTGAACTATGTCAAATTATTCTACTTTTTAATATTTTTCTGTATATTGACTAACATTGCCTTATTTTATTGTTTTTCCAGAATTTTTCATCTCACTGGATCGTACATGTGGGCCACTTACACTGCACAGCTCTCTGACAGATGTGGTGTGTTATGTTCGAGAAGGACTTGAAAGGTTAAGAAGCATCAATCCAGACATGATGCCAAACGCAATGCTTTAAAACTCTTACCTCGAAAAGTCAGTTTGGACCAATTTTAGGAATGCCTGTGATTTAAGTTGTTCCAGCCTGCAGATGCTATTCAAGATTAGAAGACTGTAACATACTTTGTGGTTCAAAAAGCAATGAAGTGAGGTTGACCAAGATCACCACTCATCTCTTAAGGCCTTTAAAATACAAATATAATCATGATTTTATCTTTATCACATTTGGTACTGCCAACAAAAGTTAATTCAGATGTATTAATAACTTATTTAAATTGAAAACATTGCATTTCCTTCCAGTCTGTAGGCTCAAAATTTCATTCCATTCTGTAAGAGATATTTTTAAAGATGCTTACTTTCATATATCTTTGTCTATTGCTAGTTTTGAAAAGCATTTTGTGCTTCTGGCTTTCAAACCAGACAGATTCTTTTTAAATTGTATATGTAAGCATGGCATCTTTCTTTAATTAAGTTTCGATCTATCTATCTTTTTAAGAACATGAAACATTGTCTTTGTTTTGGATGTATTGTTATACCAGATGTCAAATATTCTTGACATATTGACTGGACCAAAATTTGCTTGAATGAGAAGAATCTCCTTCACTTCCAATGAAATTGAATCTTGAATTGAAATTCCCAGTTAATTGAGTTTTTCTTTTTTTGGTCTTTTGTTTTTTTGCCGCTGTCTAATTATGATGGCATTTTAAAAGAATCATAGCTTTTTTACTTTTATTTTCAAAGCTTTCAAAATGAAGTCTCACAACGAAATGTTAAGAAAGTGTGTTATTGGCTGTGGTGAAGGGCTCAGTAGATATGATTGCTCACGGTGCTAGCCAGTTGCAGTCAAATTTTGTAGGTTCAGCTGTACGGTTTGTGTCCATAATGACTTTTTTTATTGCGGATTACACAAAAGTTGTTGTTCATTGAAAAATAATTTTAGTTTGCTCAATATGAAGTGGCTGATTTGTGTCACATGTTTTGAAAAGCATGCGGGATTAGCCTCACACATTGTGCTGCAATGATTGCATCGTGAGTTGCCAATCTATAGCAGACTGATATTTATTTGTAGAGTGAAGATTAAATTAAAACTTTGATGGGACTTACATACATACAGTTCTTATATTGATATTTTATCAGGAAGCTTGACAATTGCTTTCCATATATCTAGAGCATAATATACAGATGTTAGATATTTTTAATGGTGTCAATTTTTTCTGCTTACCATAGTTTATCATAATTATTATGGTCAAACTCAAAAGAGGAAGAGAGTTAATAGTCAGTTCGACATGCAAATACATATTAGTATCTTTAATTAATGATGTAAAAATGTGCTGTACATAATTTTTATGGGAAACAGGATAGTATAAATTACTGGGTTGTATATTTTTGTACATACACTGACTGTTAAGAAAACTACCTTTCAGTAAGGTCTTACCATTGTATAGAAAATAAATTGCATTGCACCATTTGTTATGATACTGAACTACCTATATACCTTGAACTCTGCTGTATAGCTAAGAGGAACTTGTTCATCTCTTGCAGTGAATTTTTTTTTTGTTTGTTTTATAGTTACCATGATTGCAGTGGCCATTCCTGAATATTTCAGGATCTCCTTGAGATGTCTTGTTGATGTTAATTTTTCAGCTTCCTGACGTATTGAAAGGCTGTGATAGGGTGGACTTAAGTAATTACAACAATATGGGGAAGTAACATTAAGGTACATAAATGACATCACTTGCCACCTCACTGTACTCTGCCTTTATTTAGTAGCTTGATTTGCTTAGGCGAAAAGTTACTTCTTTGCTCGATATTGTTATTAGATACCTAAGGTCCAAAATTTGTTAATTATACGTATTTTATTTTCTAAAAGCGTGGAATGTTCATTGCAAAATTATTGTAATGCCATAAAACTCTCTCCTCAATTTTCTTCCATTTTTTGTTTTATCTTTCTTGTGATGTTTTGAAAGAAAAGGAAATGATACACTTCTAATACCATGAAAGTTGTTTAAAAGTACTATCTTGGTTAAGCTGCCAAAAAGTTTATCACATTAGCACCATCTTCCGGTATATATCTAAGTACAAAGTGATTATTGCAGGTGTTTTTTTGTTATCTGAAAAAAGCATAAAGTTTTTTGAGTTCAGGAAGCCATTCTGTATTAAATAATTTAATAAAATTCAAAACATCACTCATCTGCACTTGCATTAATTCGATATCTTTTGAAGTGTGCTTCTTCCTGAGAATCTCTTTCTCTTTGTTCTCATCAGGAGTGCTCCCACTAACTTTTCCAACAGCCTTGTCAAAGTACAGTATTTCCGAAATATTTATTATTTTGATTGGGATTTCGTTAGGGCAATGTTCACAAACCCATCATATTTTCCTGTAGTGCTGAGAGTGTGGTCCTCACATGAAAAGTAAGGTCAAGTGTTTTAAATTGAGCTTTCAAACCATGGGTGAGTTATGTATTCAAACCACTTCATTTGTATCTGAAGTTCCAATTTTGTATTGCACAGTTGAATTAATGCTGTTTTCAATTTAATCGTAGGGTCCAAAATTCGTTACTCAGTTCAGTTTTGTCATTTCAGTTTTAACATTAAGTTTCTTCACAAATCAAGTTTAGTTCCAGTTTTTTTGTTTTGGTAGGGTTTGTGAATAAAGCCAAAAGAGTGGTCACTGAGTGAACCAATATTTTTTACTTTTCTAGAGTAGGCTAAGAGAGATCTCATATCAATTTGTATACGAAATTAACAACGGATGGCGGATGGCTCTATTTTCAGTATGCAAGGCAGAATTATACATGAATCCTCAGAGGAATTGAGTTTGTGTCAAACATGGCCAAAGGTTGTGTGTTACTATGTTTTCCTTTCTCTTAATTTTAGAGTCAGCGTATCCAAAAGCAATCTTTGCTCACTCTTCAATAGGAGAGACAACTGATGCATGCGGTTTCTTTGTACACTTTACCAATGGTGCATCTAATGTGATTTTACTGCATATTTATTTGTTAAAGTTTTATTTATTGACTTTTGTTTAGTTTCTTTTCTTTTTTTTACTTTTGTTTCATTTATGCTTTACTTCTTATGTTATGTGGTTTGTGATGAGACTGCACGTTCACACAAATGTTAAGGCCTTGTTTAGTGAAATCATATCCTTGTTTCATACCTCTGAGTAAGTTTAAAAATAAATGAAATTCAGAGGTGCAATCTGTGAAATCAAAACAGTTTGATGTTGTTGGAGACACTCACCAACAAATAAATGTGATTCTGAATGTGGCTGTAACAGAGCATCAATATAAATACTCCATTTTAAAAATGTGATTTTCTCTGACTTCCTGTTAGTCATTGTATGTGTGAGACATGTTGTGATTGATCAGTGATTACATGGATCATCTTATGTTTCTCCTTGTTTTCCTTCTTTTCTTACTGTAATTGTTGTTTCTTGTCATACATAAGTGTTTCAAATTTCTCCAGCTGAAAAGTCATGTTATTTACAAAAAGTCTGCTTTTCAGGATAAGGGGGTCATGGACTTGTCTAGGTGAAACAAGTCATGAATACATTTGACCACCAAAAAACCTCTGCAACAAACTGTTTCTGTTTAATCAGGTCTCGTTTGAAATAAGTGATCAAGTATTTTTGTTTTATGTTTTACAAAGACCTCCTTCCTAACTTGTCTGACTAGAGCAAACCTTTCTATTTTGAGGGGTCTCAAAAAAAAAAAAAAAATTGAAACTTCAGTGTACTTTCAAAAATCTCTGTTGTTTTCCCCTCTATTTAGATGTTCTAGTTTCTGTACTATTCATCAGCTTCTTTCCGTTTGGCTACTTTTTTCAAATGATACATTGTCAATCAAAGACCTTGTGTTTACATGCTTGTGATTGAATTTGTTGCTCGACTGTAATTTTTGTAAAAGCACAAACTTTGTAAAACTTCGAAGTGAAATGAGTTGCAAGTGATGATATGTGCCCTGAAAGAATACAATGATGCATTTGACTTATTTTGAATTATTATATAGGGGGGCCCAAATGACCTCTTTGTAAAG